TTTTCTTCTCCTTTTTTTCTTTGCATTTTTTTTTATCTCCCTTCTTATTTATTCATGTATTAAATCCAACAACTTCACGTAGTCGTATCGATTAATGTGCTAGCTTAATCGTCGCGACTCATTCGTTTCCGCGAATCCATTTAATTTATATATGTATATGCATACATATATCGTGATACAAGCTCGTAAGTATACGTTACATTACACACGTAATATTTACACATACATATATATATATATATATACACGTAAACGCATAGAAAATGTATTGTATCACGGGGGTACGTGTTTCATATAGCCCGCCCGTTAAATATGGCGCCGGGGTAAAACGCGATTGGCGCGAAATTTTGAAACGCTCCTCTAAAACAACGCTTTTAACGGGATATCAAAGCGTTGCGTCGCGATATGTAAATTAACAATGAATTAAACTACGACTACGACGGCTCTGCGTTACAATGTTTAACACTGTTTGTATGCAAATTTTATTTGCGTACGAAGATCGATCGATAAACTCTTCCTTGCCAACGGATGCATTATCATATCGATCATTATCGTCATCATCATCATCATCATTATTATTATTATTATTATTATTATTATTATTATTATTATTATTATTATTATTATTATTATTATTATTATTATCGTTATGATCATCATTATTGTTATTATTATTATTATTACTATTATTATTATTATTATTATTATTATTGTTATTATTATTATTATTGGGATTGAAAAAGTATATTACGATAATGACAGAAGAAAATGATCGGGAAATATTTTACATTGGATTCACGTTAATTATATATACATATGTGTGTGTGTGTGTGTGTGTTAAAAGCGTTGATTAAACGATTAAAATAAAATAAATTTATCTTGACATTTTTCTAACTCTACCTGATATCTTCCCGGAGACAGTCAGTAATTGGGATATTTGTTATTGTCGACGATATAATTAATCCGAAAATGAAATCGTTCGTTAGATCCTGTAACAAACATTGATGTAAAACCCGTTCACGTTCGATTTCATTTACGTTTTTGGTTTAGTCGATATATATGTAAGTAGGTATTTCATATATATATATATGAATATATGTACACACACACACACACACACATATATATATGTACATATATATGTATTTGACGGCGTCATTCGCGATGCAGCACCGACGGCGACGGCATACGAGAGAATAATTGCCGCGCTATTTTACGAGCTGTTTTTCTAGGACGCGTCGACGATCGACGATGGCGCGTATATCTCGTCCCTCGTTTGAGCTCGCTCGTGCAGGAAAGGCAAAATGCATTTAAATTGTCATCCCCTTTCTCTCCTCCGTCACCTCACCCCCCTCCTCATCCGCATCCCCATATTCATCCCCATCCCACCAACGTCCTCCCGTCCTCTTCTATTTTTCTATCCCTCGCTTACTCTTTTTTACCCTTCCATCATCGTGTTACGATTCCCTTGCGGCGGGAAGAAAATTTTTCCAATGGTGAAAAAATATTCTTGATCGTGTCATAACAATTTATCGAAACGCTTTTTCCACGTAATATTATACGCTGTTGTCGATATTATTATTATTATTATTATTATTATTATAATTATTATTATTATTGATGTGGGTGTTGGTGTTATCATTATTATTTGTAAATCTCTTTAATATACTCTAAATCAATATTGATAATACGATCCCCAAAAGATTAAAGATAAATTATATTGCAGATGTAAAGTAATTATTACGCGCTGATTAATTAAATAATAATAATCTCTTTGTTTATGAGATAAAATGTATAGATAAATAATTTTTTTTCTTTTATATATATATTTTATATATATATTTATATATATATATAATATTTATATTATATAATATTATAGATACAATATATAATATATTGTATATAATACAAATATTATATATAGTCATATATATATATGTGTGTGTGTATGTGTGTATGTGTGTGTATGTGTGTGTGTGTATAAATATATACGTAACTGCAATTTTCCAACGTTCCTGAGTTCCGCATCCTGACATTTCGCTTGGAACACCGCCAATAGATGCTGCAATGGAATCGTGAAAATAAACGCGCGTCGATCGACCTGCGATCGGCGGCTGCCCTCGTCGTCATCGTCGTCGTCGTCATCGTCCTCGTCGTCGCCGTCGTCGTAGTCATTGCCGTCGTCGTAGTCGTTGTCGTTGTCGTTGTCGTTGTCGTCTTCGTCGTGCTTTGCGTTTTGTTGTTCGTTCGAAAGAAATCTTTAACCGAGTTGTTTCTATCGTTCCTTCCTTCCTCCTTCTCATGTCACGTTTCTCTTCACCGAGACCGATTTAAAACTATCTCTCTGCCTCTTTCCCTTCCTCCCTCCCTACCCGCTTTGGAGTTTATCTTTCTTGGTAATATCGAATTAAACGAGTTTGAAAAAGAACGAAACTTTCGGTATTCGGAATTTGTTTAGTTTGATTCGAAAATAATTAAAATATATTTTTCAATATTA